TTTGGCTCGCTGAGCGTTTCGCACTTCCGCTGAAGACACAAGAGCAACCTAGAGGCTTGCTCTCCGTCCACGAAGCTTTCCTAGCGTATCTCGTACTATGTAAGTAACCAGTCTAGCGCTCTTGAATCTGCAACAGGTGCTAACCTCCGCCCAGTCATGTACCAGTCCTTCAACATAATGCCCCATAACGAATGGAAGCTGCGTGCAGGCGCTATGCAAGCCGCAGCCCCTCTCCGATCCATCTTCGAAACCCATCTTAAGACGCAAACTGGACGTCTAGAAGGTTTCGTCGACTGGATGGCCAAGGGCTCCGCTTTCGAGGTAGGCCCACACGCCGACCGCATCTACCATGCATTAGCGGACACCAAGCTGCCCATCGGAGACATGGTCGGTGACTGCATCGGTATGGGAGCGCCCGTCGCCGGAAACCTGACACAGCAAGCCAGTCTGCTGATCGACTTGTTCCTATCTCCTGGGTACGAAAAGTACAAGGCAAGGATCGTCGAGCTATCGCACATGGACCCTACGACCTCGGACCGCGAACTCCAAGGCTTCGTTTACGAAGGCATGCGCCACGTTGGTGTTGTTCCCGGTCTACCTCGCGTTGCGACGCGCGACATTACCGTCGACGACGGCGTCCGCGGCCCTGTTTCCGTCAAAAAGGGCCACACGATCCTCATTGCAACGTCCAAAGCCGCCATGGACCCCGTTGCGTTTCCCAACCCGGAGATCCTAGACCCGCATCGCCCATTCAAGGAGTACACACTGCTCGGCCATGGCCTGCACTTCTGCTTCGGCGCCCGCCTCGTAGGCCCGTCTCTCGCCGCGACGCTGCGCGAAGTTTTCAAACTACCAAACGTGCGGCGCGCACCGGGCAAACAGGGTCGTTTTACCGTCACGGAGCACAAACTCGCCGGCATAACGATGCGACATTATCTTGATTCGAGCTCGAAGGAGAGTCCCATCCCCACGAGTCTACGGCTGCACTACGATAGCGAGGATGTTGTTGTTGCGACGGGTCTCAATGGCCATCTTACCAATGGCCATGCGAACGGGGGGCTGACGAACGGACACACGAATGGACTTGCCAACGGGCATACAAACTTCGCTTCTAATGGCCATGCCAATGCAGGTGGGGATAATGAGCATGGCAATGCGTATACAATTGCGCCTTAGGGAGGTGTGGGACCAGAACCCAATTCGGCACCCGGACGCCCGTCGGTGTCTTCCTGGTCAGTGTCTTCGTCGTCGTCGTCGAGCGAAAGCTCTGATCTGAGGCGGCAGCCAGGGATTTTCTGTTGCCGGAGTGCGCGGGAATAATTTGCTAGGAGATGTCCGCTGGTAGTCAAGACTTGGGCATGACTTCGTTAGGGTGTTATTGTTTGTGACGATACCATTGAACTTTCTGTTGGCTTAGTTGTAGTGTTATAGAATCAGCTTGCTGCAAGTTGTTGTCGAATTCAAGCTTCAAGTTGATGTCAGTCGTGTTGTTATGTTGGGAATGTGGCTTAAAAGGTTCACATATCTGGTGTCGATAACTAGCCAACCTTAGCCCAGCCTTGCACTGTAATATACGGTTGCAAAAGTCCAATGTCTCTATTAGGTTACGTGTCTTTAACATTCATCAGTATCAATCGTACCAACACGGTGGTCTAGTCATCAGCGTACACCGACAAACACAAAGCCACCCCCATATTACAAGGTATTACTATGCACCCAGTCTTTTATGAGAACGATATTATCAGATAATCTGGCAAATGAATCTTTCCGATCTCCATATAAAGACGACTACACGTCTCACGCAATGAACGCCATGCTACCCAGCCTATCGAAACACAAGAAACCCGACCCTTACAAAAGACAAGACAGAATGCCAAAGTTACAACTTCACAGCTACTCAACTGAGCCCAACACCGCGTCAAGCCATCCTGGGCAATGGCGGAAGTGAAGTAGGATCCCATCTTCTCTCGCCCTCCATGTCAACATCATCATCGCTGTCTTCCTCACTAGCATCCTCCAACGCATCCCTCCTCTCCATCTCATCCACATCCATCATGTCATCGCCATCATCCTCGTCATCTTCATCTTCACTACCCAAAACAGGTCTGTCATGGACGTCTGGCAATCCGCTACCCCTCTCGCCCTTGGGTCGGGCTCTGAGCGCACTTCTGCCGCCTTCCCAGCGATCCAAGCGACGCAGGGCTCTGCTTAGCATCTTAGCGCGGTAGTACGACTCCTCGCCATGGTCGTTGACTTCGCCGCCAAAGTCGAGAGGTACGAGGCCGGAGGGCATGGGCGGGGGTGTTTTGGTGCCGAGTTCGTATTCGGGAAGTTGGGCAAATTGCGCGTGCGATTCTTCGTCTGTGTCGTAGCCGTCGGCCATGCCTTTGCAGCGGATCCAGCTGCGCATAAAGGGGTTGGCTTTGCGGCGGCGCTTGGCTGCGGCGGCGTACTCGATGCGAATACCTCGGTCAAGAATGACGTCGACGCGTCGCCTCCTGTATTGCTCGACAGCTAGTTGGTGTTGTGTAAGGGGACGTGTTCGTTTGTGCGAGGGGTCGGAACCGTTGAGCGGGAGGTAGAAGCCGTGTGGTCCGTTGAAGGTGGGTGCGGATGTGGAGGGGGACTGGCCATCTTGCGAGTGTGGAGCGTCGAGTTTGGTCTTGAAAGAACGTGCGGCTGGTGTTCCTCCGGCGCCTATGCCTGATGTGCGATTGCGCGACCAGTTCCCGCGGCCGGGGCCCTTGAGCGCAGGAGACGAAGCCGGTCCGTCCTCGTTGAGGAGGGTATTGATGCGCATGTTGGGTGTAGCCACCTTCTTGGCTGTGTTATAGACGCTGTTCGGCGGAGACGCAGACCGAGTACGGTCAGTGTCTGAGGGGTAGTCTCGTTCGATGATGGATTTTGCAAGCTTGCCTCGTCCTCGTGCGGAGCCTGGTGTTGTTAGATCGGTGTCGCCGCAAAGGCTAGAGAGCAGCATACCATGGGAAGGCGATTGCCTGTCGCGTCCAGGTGTCCAAGCACCATCATCGGCGGCGATGGAGAAGACTGGGTTTTGGTTGAAGCCTAGAGGTGGGTCAGCTACAGCCGGACGTGAGCGGAGTCACAGGTGGATAGCAGCACTCACCCTTCTTGTTGGTACGCTTGGGGCCTGTCACGACGGGCGCCATGTCGCTTGCCAATATAGCTGTCCTCTCCTTGCGCTTAATCTCACCGAAAGTCTTCTCTTCGATGGAGTCGACGTTCTCCAGCGCCTCCTGCTCTGGCGAGAGTATGTCAAAAGGCGGGCACTTGATAGGGAACTCAGCCGTAGTCGGATCGTCGGCCGGACCCATCTGGCCGGGACCAAAAGGGTTGCTCTCGGCAGCCTCCTTGGTGAAGTCGCTCTCGAGATACCACCACATGAGCCAGAGGAAGGCCGTGGCTCTGCTCTTGCTGCTCAGGTTGGAGCGCATGACGAGGTCGAAGAAGTCGCGCGGCGGGAAGAAGTGCAGCTCTGAGATCTTGGGGGCGTATTGCGACAGGACGAAGATGAGGTTGACGGGGTTGGTACGCGGGACGGAGGCTGCCATGATCTCCTCGATGGTGCTGGGCTGCTCCTGGTCCTCGGTGGCACCCTTGAGGATGGACTTCAGGCGGGGCGCGTCCTGCAGCTGCTTGTAGGCATTCGGGTCTTGGTGGGCCTGGAGGGAGGGGATGGAGTGGTAGGTGCGCAGCTGGGCGCGCATCTCGGGGAAGACTGTGGCAGGTTAGGGGGGCTCGAGGAGGGACAGCAGGTGGCCTACAGTTGAGCGTCGTGTTCATGCGGCCGACGTTGACGAGCAGACACACCATGGCCATGTTGATGGCAGCCGGGCGCTCCGTCAGCAGCTTGTCCTTGAGGATCTTGCTGCACTTGCTGCTCTTGGCCATGGCGTCGAGGTAGATGTCGGCGAAGGTGTGGCCGCTGGTGCTGTCCGACTGCTTGGTGAAGACGGGCCGGTCGTCCTCGAAGACGAGCTTGAGGAAGTCGAACTGGATGTCCTTGCGCCACAGCGGGATGCCGTCGTCCTTCTTCAGGTGCTTGATCTTGTTGCCGCTGTAGACGGACGACACGCTGCCGTTGGCATTGCGGCGCGTCGTCGTCGTCGTCGCCGTGTAGTACGGCCTCGCCGGGTCCGTGTCGTTGACGGGGCGGGCGGCGTCGGGCCCATCGCCGCCAGCGTCGCTCCCATCGGGGACAGGCGTGTTGGCCTGCGAGGGCGAGGGCTTGGAGTCGTCCATCGGGGGGTCGGCGGCCAGAATGTGTCGCAGGCTGTTTCTCGTGTCGGGCTCGTCGGGGCGCGCAGGCAGAGGCGCCGTGGCAACCGCTCCGTCGTCCATGGCCAAGTGCTCTGTGTCTGGTTCCACTAGTCCTGTGCTGGCCCGCTGTCGCCTGAGCGCGCGTCTCGAACAAGCAGGCAGGCGCGTCGCAGTCGTCAATCGCCGAGAGGGAAGCTGCGTCTCAGCGCGGAAAGCGCATCCACGCCCAAGCTCAGACCTCGGGACGCTAGGCCAACGCGATCCCATCACGAACATGGTCAACCATCACAGTAGGTGCTAGCAGAGTTCAATTCATTTCCTAACCAATTGCGCAAATGCAGTGCACCACGCATACATCAAAGTAACCAGGATATCTCAGCAAAAGTTGCACAAAAAGAAAGCTCCAACACGCGCCGCGCGACTGCCGAAGCCAACCTGTCGCCGAAACAAAGAAAGCGGCCTGCTGCAAGCAAGGGGCGGGGGTATGCAACGCGAAAAGCATACACAACTCCGAGCGAGTCGCCTGCTCCATCTCGCCAAACGCCTGGTATCGCTGAATATCCGTACAACACGCAAAAGGAAACCCAAATCCCGCCTCTCCGGCGCTTCCAAGTAACCAAAGATCCGGCCCGTGGTCCTGAATTAAGAATCAAAAATTAGACTGAATTCTTGGTGCATCGTCATGTGTCGTCTCTGTCGCGAATCGAGCCAAGGCTTGCTCACTCGAACGCCGTCTCTTCTCGTACCATTAGAGGGTTGTTGGTGTTTTGTGAATACATTCGTGCATCCATCCGTCCATCTCCGCGTGGAGGGTTGGATCCACCCGAGCCCTTGCGTTGGCCGCCCATGCCCATGCCCATGTTCATCAAAAGCATGCCGCTCTCTCGTTTTCGTTGCCGCTGTTCGCGAGCTCCGCTAGACTGAACAGCGCCGTTCAAGCTGCCGTATCCCTCTCCAGAGTGATATGGCTGGTCGTAGGCTGGCGCATCGTAGCTGGGTCGCATGGGAATAAATCCCGAATCATAGCCGTTGTATTGGCCTTGCTGCTGTTGGCCGTACTGCTGCTGCTGCTGTTGATACTGCTGCGGGGGCTGTGGGGGCGGATAGCTGGGAGCGCTATTCCCTTGATAGCCTTGAGGCGGTCGGTCCATACGCTGCTGGAATGTCGTCTCGTTGTATGCCGGCGTTGGGAGGTCTGAGAACATCTGCCTCCGAGGAGACCGAATCGCGTCGTCCCCCAGGTGAGAAGTGTTGTTGCGGATCTCGTGGATCGGGGAGCTTGCTTCATCGAGAGCAGTACCGAAGATATCCGTGTAGTCAGTCAGGAAGAAGGATATCAACGGGGCCGGAATGTTCAGAGTCGGAGCAAATACGATGCCAACATTCCTCACGGTCATCTTGTTCACCCCGGAATTGTCGACAATCTCAATCAGGAAAGACGCCATGTGTCGCAAGAGCTCAAGGTTAGGCCTAGGTAGCTTGTGTACCAGAACGTTAAAGCTCTGGATCTTCTTGCTACGCTCGTCCATATCTAGAATGTGTCAGCCCATGGTCTACTAATCAACGTCATCCGGATAGACCACTTACCGAGAACCTTGAGGAAGTCAAGATGCAGTTCCCGAGTTAGGACAGAGGCCGGCAGTTCTCGCAGGTACAGCTTGAGAAGCGATGCGACGGCGTGAACGTCATAGTACTGCCCGTCTAGCAACCTGATGTCACCTTCGTTGTTGAACCGATCGCGCAGGCCCTTGATAACAATATTTGATCCACTGAGCCGGAAGATGCCCTCTTCGCTGATTGCCTTCTTTGCTCGCAGATACTCCAAGCACCTGTAGACGACAGCTGGCAGCGCCACGTTGACACCGTCAGGCTGCGTAAACTCCACAGCTTCCATAAGTGGAATACCAAACACACTGCGGCCCGGAGGCAGGCGATGTTCTACAGCTGGCTGCAGCGGAGTGCTGACCTGGACTGGTGCGAGGTCAGAAGAGCCGCCACGACCTCTAAAGCCGAATATGCTACGTTTCTTGTCTTTGACGGTCGTGGGTCCTGCCGCTGGTTTGCTGCCCCAGCTCTCAGAGTCCTTGATGGGGGTTCCGTTGCTTGGTCCTGAGATGGCAGGATAGTGACCTGAATTATCTTGAAGGAAGGACGAATCCTTGGGCGACCCCCGTGACGACTTTTCTACCATCATATCACGGTGATTGGGTCCGCGGACGGGAGCTTGCGCTTGCACTGTGTCGTCATAGCTGAGGCCTTGCAAGCGATCCTGCTCTCCCATATCAGGGCTTTCTCTCCGCTGAGAGCGTGCCGAATCTTGGCTGGCCTGCTGCTTTTGAAGACGCGTAGCAGAGGGGACGCGAATCTCGACTGGCGAAGTTTCGTCTGGTATGTCGACATGTTGCAGAAGAGCCTCGACCCAAGCATCTCGCTCTTCATCGTTCTCCGCACACAGCACATGGCGCACCAAGCTCGTCGAATCTTTTCGCTTTGGCTCCAAGATGAGGAAGGCGTGTCGATATTGGTTATCTTCAGAATCGTCCCGTCGTTGTGGCGATTGGTTTGACTGCTGTTGTGACTGCTTCCCAATCTGTGCATTTTGCAGCTTGATCGTTCCCAAGTGCGCACCGCCCTCGCCCTCAAAGTACCTGAACTCTGAGCCATCCAGAACAAAGAAACGCGCTTTCCAGCCTCCGAAATTCTTGCCACGCTTGGTGAGGTAACCTTCCTTGCGCTGCGTTTTCTGAACAGACACTATCGGACCTGGTGTGGGCTCGGGGGCCAGTCTATCGCCAGCCTGGGCGCCTATTACATCAGTAGACAGGTATTCACAGACAATCAATGCCGTCTTCTCGTTCATGGGAGTTTCCAGGACAGTATCAAAGTATTGGTTGAGGGCGACCCGGCGAGCGTCAATCTTGGCAGGCGCATGTCCTCCGAAGAGAGCACGGTCTGGAAGTCGTCCCTGAAAGTCGCACAAAGACCTCAGCTGAGAGTCTAGAGAAGGCAGCGTAGCAATGGTCTTTTCCACACGCCACAGCTGTTTGTTATCAGAGCGGGCGTAGACGGCAAGAATAAAGACAGGGTCCTCCTCCTGCGGCTTGGGGGCGAGCATGCTCATACGTGATGGCCGAAGGCGAGACGAGAAGACCTTTACTTGAATGGAGGGCAGTGCATTCGGGGGCAGCAAGAGTCCGGGGTACTGGTCTGACACGAGTCCGCGGTAGACGTGTTCTGCATCCGGAACATCGTTGAGGGTAGGGCTGCTCGATGGTGATTCTGGACTGGGCTGTGCACCTGGTACAGTCAAAAGGCCCGTCGACGCCTCTTTGCGTAGCTGGTTAGGCTGCTGATTTTGGTTGACTGGGGGTGACTGATACGACTGAGGTGTGTTTGGTGGGAATGGAACTTGTTGCTGCATTGCCCGAGCAGCCGACTGGTGCGTGGTAGTCGGCGACATGGGTGGTGATGCGATGGACTGCTTAGGATTTCTGGGTAACGGCGATCCGAGTGGCCTGTCCGTGGGTCGGGGGCTGGAAGGTAGACCTGGACTCATGAGTGGGGATGCGACGCTCCGGTTAGCCATCATAGAACTATCGGAGTTTGCAGGACTAAGAAGAGCATTCAGAGAGTTGGCTGGCGGGTGACGGGGAGAGAGTGGAAGGCCCGATTGCAGCGCATTGAACTGACGCGGCGAAAGGGGAACCGGGACCGCCTGAGGCTGATCGCCTGCTGGTGTTTCAGAAGGCGTCGCTTGTTTGCTCTTGCTTTCGCTTTTCTTCTTCTTCGACTTGCTTCGAGCTTCCTCATCTTTCGAATACATGGCCTCACGGACCCTGTCATCTTCCTCTCGAGTCTTTCTCCTTCCTCGCAGCTCCACGACAGGTATCTCATCCACCTCCAGTATATCGTCGTAATCAGAGTCGACATCGTCGCCATGCACGGCCCGGTGGAGATGTGCGCTGGTCGTTGTGGGTTTCGACAGGTTGAGTGGAGCTGGCGGTGCCTTTCGCAGAGGCTGCGGAGTCTTTCTTGGGGGTGATTCAAAGCCATCGCCGCCGACGACAGGCGTAGCTTGGATCAGCGATATCTGCGGAGGCTGGAGCTGTGAGCTGCCCGGGACGAGCGTCACGTCTGAGGTGTTCTGGGGAGGAGTGGCTGGCTTCGGGGCTTGCGCTGGGGGTTGAGCAGCATCGCCGGGCTGCAGCAATGTAGAGTCGAGGCCGAGGCCCCTGCTACCAAGGCTAAGGGGTTGCACGGAGTAGTCTGTAGGTGAGTTTACGGCTGACGAGATGTTGGATGCCGTGGAATGAGACGGCGACGTCGCTAGCTGTGAGTCTGGGATGAGATGCGGTGCGGGGTGCTCTTGCGTCAGGGGCGATGTCTTGTGCTCGGTGGCTTTGGTGTCGCTGGGCCGAGCGGCGTCACCAGGTTGCTCACCGAGGGCTGGCGACTGGCTGGTCTCGCGTTCCACGACCGAGTCGAACGTGTCGGACTTTTGCAGCGAGCCGGGGCCGGGTGGCAGCTGCTCAGCGTACTCCTTGAACTTTCTGCGGTAGCGGTCCTTGTCCTTCAGTGCGCGCTCGAGGTCTTTCTGGAGCCCGATGATCATGGACCGTTGCTTCTCCACCAGCCGCCAGAGCTGCGCGTTGTGGCTGGACGTGTTCTGCTTGTCCTTCCACAGGGCCAGCATGGCGGCCTCGGGTGAGCCTGCAGCGGCCATCAGACTGGCCATGTCTGGGGGGTTGGCGGTGCTCGTGTCCTGCGACGGCCGGGGCGCATGGCTGGCGGGCGGGCGGTTCTGCGAGGCCGTCGACGACAGCGAGGATGCGGCCGAGTCTATCGAGGGGTTGCGGACTGGCACCGTCGGCCTCGTGTCTGGCCGGTTCGGGCGTGATGGTGGAGGCATGGTGACGGGCGAGGCTGGCGGGGAAATGCCAGCCGAAGACAGCGTGGGAGACGACAGCTGGCGGAGTCTGGCATACGCAGACGGCCGCGACGGCTGCGCGAAGCTCGGGGTGGGGACGGTGGGTGGTGTAGGCGGGTGCGCTGGCTGGGTTGGGCGAATGGGCGAGGTATGCTGCTGCTCCTCCGCCAGCAATGCGTCGAGCTTCTCGCGCGGACTGCGCGGTTCGTCGAGGCGTGGTGAGTCGCGGTAGCCCGGCTGCTGGCACGGGGGGCCGCTATTACCAGTCGAATACAGCGGGCTTGGGACGGGTTTGCGACGTGCTCGGGGCGGGTGTTGCTCGTCCGCCGTGGCCGGCACGTTGTGCGAGCGCGTCGAGTCGTCGCGAAGGCTGCGAATACTGTCCGCGAGCGACGGCGCGGAGAGAGAGTGCAAGGGCGACGGCGGCTGGTGCTGAGCGATGTGATGTGCCGCCGTCCTTTCCTGGAGCATGTGCATGTCTGTATTCGTCGCCGCCATGTCCAAGGCTCAAACGGGCTAGCGGACGACCGGGATATCTGGTCGACGGTATAGCAGACGGCCAGTGGGGATTAGTGTTTCGGCGACGCTCTGAGTGTCTGGTGAATCCAAAGCTGCCACGCTCAGCAGTCTCGTCAGCATCTGGCGTCCCGCGCAGCTTGAGACAAGTCTCCGTCAGAAGGAGCAGCCGGAACAGAAGAGATTTGGGCTTGTCGCCTGCCGGCTTCTCATTCGGCGCCATAACCGCCCTTGTAGGAGCCGGGCCAAAGTCAAGCCTGGTTCCTGCAGCAGAAGCGAGCCCTGTAGGCCGTCGTCTCCATCATCGCCTCCGCACGCCTTGATGGCTGCGTCCCCTCACGTTTTAGATGTGCCCAAACCCGTCTGCATCCCCGTCGACCACATGCCCGCGTAGGCGCCAGAAAGCTACTTTGGCTTTTCCATTGGCGCACACCTGTGGCTTGCTAGCCGTAATCAACTACGAGCCACCATCCACCGCCCCTCTTGTGCAGAACGAGATGTGCGCGTGGTCTGCTGTCGCTGGTGCCCGCAGGCAAGCTGACAACAGCCTGACAAGCCAAAAGGTGCGAAATGCCCACCTATTGGCTACAGCCCAGATGATTTGGCATGCGAGTCCAGAGAGTGTATTGATTCGGCGGCGCGATAATCTGCGACTCATGGCAGACTCGAGAGCAACTCCGCCAGCCGTCTGGCCGTCTGGCCGTCGATTGGATGGTCGTGGTAATAATGTCTCTTGCGCACGGAGGCGTTCGAGTTGAAGGGCTGCTGGGTCGCTGCAGCACGAAGGATTTGCCAGGCCGAATCGGGGCTAGATCCGTCGATCACTTGGCACTCGTAGATGCAGCTCCGAACTCTCAGAGACAACCACCGCATGCCGTCCATCACCATGAGTGCCCAACCATCCGCTCTGCACCGCGGCTGAATGCTCGAGTATGCTGACGGCCGATACATGCCGCTTGGAACGCATATCAGAATCATACGATTCCTACCGACCTGCGATTACATCTGAAACTCATCCGCCGTCAAGCGAAGTGTACTGCAGGGAGCCGCTGATAGTTCCACGACTAGACCGTAACCGTCGCCACATGGTGATCACGAGCTGCACCTAGGCTGCGCAACGAACCCAAGGCCCAGACTAATAATTCCTCTTTGCAATGCTCTGTCAGGGGTAATTTGGATGATTGAGGCCGAGAAACGTCTTTTGTTTTTTCTGTCTCTGCGCTGGTACCCACCGCAAGCCGTGGAAATGAGGTGCGACATTGCAGCGGACATCATCACTCGGGCGAGTAAAGATGCGGCATGAACAGCCTCCTTGATGGTCCAGCACCCACATCCTTCGACCGCACGCATTCCCTCCACAGATGCAGGGTGAACCTGAGGCAGACGCTACCCCAAAGACATGGCAAGCATAACTCGGAACAGATGTTTCCATGCGAGTTGGGTCAAGCCGCAAGCCTCTCTCACGTCTAATTATACATCGCATATCCAGCTCCGAGGGGCAACACCGAAGTATTATGATCTTCGTGATTGCAAATACGAGCTTTGCTGCGTTGAACAGGACAAATCACCAACGTCTAAATTGACAAGACTGCATCAACAGGAGCGCGGACATTACATCTCTGGTAACATGCGGAACTCACCGTGAAAGGAAAGCTATCCTCATTTGCAAGTGGTAGTCTTTCATCAATGCATGCGCATACCTGTGAGAGCTCCGTCCGGAATGTAAGCTCCCGTTCGACTGCTAACCGCCGCCTGGACCTACAGTTCCCGCCATCAAATGTGGAGGAAGTATAGATCGGAGAGTGAAGTGGCGCCAAGATGGAGGCCAATAACGCCTCATCGGAACCTTGTGATGGTTTGCGCCATGGGACAGCTACTGCGTGGGTAAACCTAGTATGGAGAACCCTTGCTCAATGAACAAACGCCTACCATCATGCTCAAGACGTTCCAGTTCCCATTCGCTACATCTGCGTACATCCACAGGTATGTTGCTTTGGAAATTACGAGGAAAGCGATGCACGCAGATACAGTGAGAACATGGACGGGTTCTGCCTGTCCAAGAAGAAGAAACCGCATGGTGTAGCGTTCGAGGCTAATTCACGGGAGGCAATGCGTACCGAGCGAACGCAAAGTCAAAGCCAGTTTCTGAGCAGGGAACAATGTGGGCGCTTGAATAACTTTCGAAAATAGCTATCATGGAAGATAATATCGTCATTATTGCCTCGGCGTTTGCAAACCACTTGCTTCATAACGTACTGTTCGAGACAGTGAGCAGCCGTCAATCAGCATTACGAAACCGTGTGTTGAGTGGCATACTGTCCATTGAACTCGAGTCCCGAGTTGTCAAGCGAATTCGCGAGCATTTTCACATTCCCCACAGCTTTTGATCCATGTCAGGATGACCGGACCCAAAACAGACATGTGCTTCAATATTCAGATTGTTAATTCCCATAGCTACAAGACACCTGGCTGTCACCAAGCAGCTGCTACTCTGTTATACAAAATCTTAGGTGTAATTTATCTATCGATCCTGACATCCTTCACACTGACCTTGACAGCTTCGTATCCGATGCTGGGCAACTGGGGTAGCGATCAGTTCGACTTGTCAACTTCCAAATGAGTTGCACTAATGGACTTCATCTGCAAAGAAGAGTTTGAGGCCGGGTGAAGGTCTGCACAACTACACTGTCTCTGAATCACAGATCGCGTTTTCGATGCAGAGACAGTGAGACAAGGCTCCGCATTGCTGGACTCCGTTGTAACACTGTCGAAGCATCGGCTCACCTCCAATGGATATACTAAGAAAAAGCGTCCGATATACTCAATGTAGTTGTGTCGTTAATCCATGTTTTCCTTCTAACTGCGTCTTGTAGACACGGGTCTATGCCTGCGCACCATACAGTATAATACACTCGTAGGCTTTCGTACTCCTTACAGCCCCACTCTTCCACTACCGCCTCGCTCCATCTTGTTCAACCGTCGCGCAGTAGCAATCTGCGATTGTTAGCCCATTGACCCACCAAGACCACAGCCACTCTCCTAGGGCCAAACCTACCTGTGTCCTTGTCTTCTGGCCCCTCACGGGCAAGCCCATAGCGTGTCTCCTTCCACGATATGTGCCCATATCCCTCAATCTCCGGATGTCGTCCTGCACTTGCCGCCGTAAATCGTTCTCAATCTTCATGTTGGCCAGTTCCGCGGTCAGATCCATGACGGTGGCGTTTTTCAAGCTGCCGACTTTCGCCCACGGGTGGATGTAGAATTTCGCCATAATGCGCTGCGAGACCGAGGGCCCGATGCCAAAGAAAGATTCGAGGGATCGCTTCACGAGCGTCGCTTCCGTGAAGCTGAAGCCGTTGATGAACACCTAAACCGTCAGTAAGACGCGCGCAAGGGGAAATGGGCGTTCCAGTCGCGTACCATGGCGGGTCAGCGTTCCGACAGCGAGTTCGCGTGTTGGAGTGTCAATTGTCGTGTCTGATCTCGAACTCCAGACTTCCGTTTCCCGCTAGACCCAGCCGGCGCTAGTGCGACAGTGCGGGCAATGGCTCTACCTAGGTAAAACGCAACGTTTCAACACCTCCTCCACCATCGCATTCCGCAGGGGGCTGTCCAAACTACTTAACCTTGCGACTTCCCTCGATTGTTTCCCGACACAATCAGGCACCATGGCTACCATCCAGAGAGCTGTCATTTCGCTCCTCTTGATCCTCTCGATCACTTTCGTCTTCTTTGCTCAGAGCACCGAGGCTGCAAAGGGTCCAAAGATCACTCACAAGGTGTGTATAGCTTTCAATCGGATGCAGCCGGACTTGCTGACTAGATCCAGGTCTACTTCGACGTTACCCACGGCGATGAAGAGCTAGGCCGCATCACCATCGGTCTCTACGGCAAGACCGTTCCCAAGACCACTGAGAACTTCCGGTACGAACGGATACAAGTCTACGCATAGCTCGGGGGGCTAACATAGACTACAGCGCTCTCGCTACTGGCGAGAAGGGATTCGGTTACGAAGGCTCTACTTTCCACCGCGTTATCAACAACTTCATGATCCAGGGTGGTGGTAAGTCCGACTCATGCCCGGGTCTAGGATTCACAATGCTGATCAACGGCTAGACTTTACCAAAGGCGATGGTACAGGAGGTAAGAGCATATATGGAGAGAAGTTCCCCGACGAGAACTTCAAGCTCAAGCACACCCGGAAGGGTCTCCTCAGCATGGCCAATGCTGGCAAAGATACCAACGGTGAGTACCCTTCCCTTTCACTCCCTGCAGCATGCACTGACTATCCTAGGCTCTCAGTTCTTCATCACCACCGTCATCACCAGCTGGCTCGATGGCCGCCACGTCGTGTTCGGAGAGGTCCTCGAGGGCTACGAGGTCGTGGAGAAGATTGAGAACGTGAAGAAGGGTGCTGGAGACAAGCCGGTCCAGACTGTCAAGATCGCCAAGAGCGGAGAGCTCGAGGTGCCAGAGGAAGGTATTCACGCGGAACTCTAGACATCAGTACGCATTCTTTGCTATTGAGTCGACCCCTCAGGTTGGAGAGCTGCTGATAGTTGTACCTTTTTCTTCAAGATTTATACGGTCATGCTGAACCAGCCATTCCTGGCGACGAACTCGATATCACAGCGACTCCGTCTCACGACGATATCGTCAACATTGCTGAGGTATCCCAGGCCTCCTCCACCAAGGGCAAAATTCCTGGCCTGGCTGCTGCTGCTGGTTCTGCTGATGGTTTGTCGGTCGGTCAGAAGCTTTTCTTTATTGGGGCTGTCGTTGCGATTTGCGTGCTCTTCTTGAAAACGCGAAATGGAGGGCAAAGCAACATTATGGGTGGGTTCAAGGAGAAGAGCATGGCCTAGATTACGACGAAATGCAGAAACGTTCCTTTAGTAGAGCATTGATCTGATACATGGTGAACATGGCTCTCTAATGTGTCAAGACGCTAGCTAGGGTAGAGGGGATACGATGTCCTTGCAGTCCCTGCATTACCCGCCGATGACGATGTGCAACGGTCAGGGCACGTCCAGGGTAAAAGCAAAGAAGACAATGTTGGGTTATCTAAAGCCATGGCACAGTCGCACAGGATGGCCTGGAGCCTGCACAAGAACCTAGAAAGGCCGCCACTACATTCAACTGCGGCCATGTCACAGTGCATGTCGCATGAAAAGCAAGCCTGCTGCAGCACACGACAGCTTCCATCTGTGACGTTCACCGCTCCCCACTCGCCACAGCCTGAGAACTCTGAGAGGGAGCGCTAGCGCCAACGGGGACTAGTGCGGGAAGGGTTCTCCGACACGCTTTTTTAACTTACCTGCGGCCGTCTCCCTCTTCCCTAACCACCCACCCTCCAAAACTACTCTGTGTGTATTGCACAACCTTACAAGCTCTTTTCCTGTGAAGTCCTTTCTTTTGGTCTTCACTTCTTTACTTCTCGTTTTAGGACAGAGGCGTTCCCTTCTTTCCTGACAGAACGAGTCTCAGGCACCCGCCTGCGAGTTACGAGTTTCGTCACTTAGACCTGCTACTTTTCGTCTGTCGCTCACCGCCGAGCCAGCCGAAGCCAGCACATCTGTAATTTGCGCCCTGCACATTGCACTGCCAAACACACCCTCAACCAACTCGATTCCACCACGCCCATCATGGCTGAACAACTCGACATGGGTCGTCTCAACATCAACGACTCCCAGCACAACCCCCAGAACGGCTTCAACGGCGAGCGTTCTGCCTACATCCCCCCTCACCTTCGCGGCCGTCCCCAGGGCGGTCCCGGAGGCCCTGCACCCATGGACGGCCCGCCCCCGATGATGAACGGCGGCGGTCTCGGCGGCAGCGCGTGGGGCCCTGGAGGGTCAGTCAACACCCAGGACACAAAACAGGAAGGTATGCTAACTGGTGACAGTCAGGGTCCTCCCCCTCAGATGAACGGCGGCGGCGGTGCCGGTGGCTGGGCCAACGCACCCAACTTCACTCCCCGCGGTCGCGACGGTCCCCCAGGCGGTGGATGGGGCGGTGCCCCTCGCGGTAACTTTGACCCCAACGCCTACGGCAAGCCCGGCGGCGGTGGCTCTGGAGGCGCCCGCGGGTCTGGCGACGGTGCCTGGAAGGACGGCAAGCACGTTCCCGGCCCGCCCAACCAGCGCCTCGAGCGCGACCTCTTCGGTATGCCCAACGACCCTTCCAAGCAACAGACCGGTATCAACTTCGAGAAGTACGATGACATCCCCGTCGAGGCCTCTGGTCAGGGTGTCCCCGAACCCGTCACACGTTTCACAAACCCGCCTCTCGATGACCACCTGCTGAGCAACATCGAGCTCTCCGGATACAAGGTTCCCACTCCTGTACAGAAGTACTCCATCCCCATCGTCATGGGTGGCCGTGATCTCATGGCTTGTGCCCAGACTGGTTCCGGAAAGACTGGTGGTTTCCTCTTCCCCATTCTCGCCCAGGCCTTCCAGAATGGCCCCTCTCCTCCTCCCGCACAGGCTCAGGGTGGATACGGACGTCAACGCAAGGCTTACCCCACTTCGCTCGTCCTTGCTCCTACCCGTGAGTTGGTCTCCCAGATCTTCGACGAAGCCCGCAAGTTCGCATACCGCTCCTGGGTCCGTCCTTGCGTCGTCTACGGTGGTGCCGACATTGGCTCTCAGCTTCGCCAGATTGAGCGCGGCTGCGATCTTCTCGTTGCTACCCCCGGTCGTCTCGTTGACCTGATCGAGCGTGGCCGTATCTCCCTCGCTAGCATCAAGTACCTCGTTCTCGACGAGGCTGACCGCATGTTGGACATGGGTTTCGAGCCTCAGATTCGCCGTATCGTTGAGGGTGAGGACATGCCTCCTACCGCTGCCCGCCAGACACTCATGTTTTCGGCCACCTTCCCCCGCGATATTCAGATGCTCGCCCGCGACTTCTTGAAGGACTACATTTTCCTTTCGGTCGGTCGTGTCGGTTCCACTTCTGAGAACATCACCCAGAAGATTGAGTACGTCGAGGACGGCGACAAGCGCTCTGTTCTCCTTGATATTCTCCACACACACGGTGCTGGTCTCACCCTGATCTTCGTCGAGACGAAGCGTATGGCCGACTCGCTGTCCGACTTCCTCATCAACCAGGGCTTCCCCGCCACCTCCATTCACGGTGACCGCACTCAGCGCGAGCGTGAGAAGGCTCTGGAGATGTTCCGAACTGGACGTTGCCCAATTCTTGTCGCCACTGCTGTCGCAGCTCGAGGTATGTAGTTTTTTCAATTTTTTCGTTCGTTCCTTCCCTTCCTATGTGGCAGGTACCACCATGGTCAGCACCTGCCATGACGGGTGTCAACAACACCTCGTCTCACTTTTTTCAATCCTTCCAACCTGCACTGCACTCCTACACACTTTCCCTTCATACCTCACTGTCGTTCACCAACGCACCTTACTGTCGTTCGACGACTACATCTTCGCACCTCACTGTCGTTCGACTTCACCTCGTCGCACCTGCCGTTCCTGTGTGCTATCAGCACTCACTTTCCCGCCGCACCACAGAATCGACAGTGTCGGTTTGGACGGTGTCCATCGGTATATTGCACGGTGCATTACAGGCTGCATTACCATCATGTTGCCGGACACCTCAGACATGTTGGTGCTGATGCTGTGGCTGGCGTGGGCTCTACTATCCCGAACGTCTCGCTCGATGAAATCAAGCATGTTTGAGAAGACCTTTCCGACAGAGCTGTCACTCAAGATGGTCACAACCTCTGCCCCGCTCACCTTCGCTGCTGGTCTCATGGCTGTCATCCGGTCTCCCACCGCCCCCACCATTGACTACTTCAAGACCCTCACCATTCCAAATGGGAAAGTGTGGGCTGTCTACGTCCTGGTCATGGAACGTGCCGGCTACCGTCCGAAGACCTACTGCGGTAGCGGCACCGATTCAATTGAAGGTGCTGATCGACGGATGAAGACATACGACGCCCGCACACGCGGTATCTTCTCCGACCAGATTTCCCGCACCGTCGAGAAAGCTCTATGCGACGGTTGGGTCATTACTCATAAGGGGTATCTCGTCACGACACCCCTGCCCCGCCCTTACTTTCGGTTCCTGACCCGTGGTCTCTTCCTCGTCCTTGAAGCTGTCTTCAGCCTGGTCTTCTGGATGATGCTTTCAAAGAAAGACTACTCTATGCCACTTCTATGTCCTTGGCCCGTCGATACCCTTACCTACGACGGTGCTTGCACCCACTTCTCCATCAACGAAGGAGGGTGGCAGGGTGCTGATGAAGACCAACGGTACGAGGGTCTCACCCCTGAGCAAGCCGACGACCTCGATTTGGAGTACAAGCAGGCCAAGAGCCGCATGTACGTTGCCAACAAGGGTGAGGGCGTTCACAAGGCCAACACGCTACGCTACGGTCTGCAGCAGCTGGCATCACAGGCAAACAAATGCAATGTCTGCAACCTCGACTTTCGTTCACCTGCCAAGCTCCGCGAACATCAGACACTCCCCATTCATCTACGCAAGGCAGCTGGACAGGGCCCCCAAACCAATGGTCGGGGTGGTTCTCAGAATGCTGTTCGTAGTGGTCGCTTCCGCTGCAACACTTGCAACAAGAACCTGTCGACCGCCGGTCGCCTCACCACACATCTGAATGGCCCTCGACACGCAAAGCAGCTGAGGACCCTAGGTTTGAGCCCTGCGCTCACCTAACCTCACTACCCTCTACCGGAAAACCCCTTTTTGGCTCCCTTCTTCCCCCCTTTGATTCCCTCCCGCCTCCGCTTCTTTTCTTTTATTGCTTTTACAGCTTCTATTACTTTATGAACTTCGATGAACACTCAGCTAACTGTCTTATCGGCCTGGATATTCCGAACGTTGTACGTATCACCCTACTCCTCACTTCCTGACATTTACTGATTTTTCCCCAGACTCACGTAGTCAACTATGACCTTCCCACCGACATTGACGATTATGTTCATCGAATCGGTCGTACTGGACGAGCTGGAAACACTGGTATTGCCACTGCTTTCTTCAACCGCGGCAATCGCGGAGTCGTACGCGATCTCCTTGACCTGTTGAAAGAGGCCAACCAAGAGGTCCCTAGCTTCCTCGAGTCCATTGCTCGCGAGGGCTCCGGCTTCGGTGGAGGTCGTGGTGGCCGTGGAGGCGGCCGTGGCCGTGGCAACGCTGCTACCCGTGACGTTCGTCGCATGGGCGGTGGTGGTTTCGGTGGCGGTGGCGGTGGCCAGTGGGGAGGTGCTCCTCAAGGTGGCTATGGAGGTGGCTTCGGCGGTGCTCCCGGCGGTGGCTACGCTCCTCCAGCTCCCGGCGGCTACGGTGGTGGCGGCGGCGGCTTTGGTGGAGGCTACGGCAACCCATCCGGCCCTGGCGGCAATTCTTGGTGGTAAACGTGCAACGCACCGCTTCACGATATAGCCAGCCCGGGACACATTTTCTTCTCTACGATACCCTGGGCCTTCGTGTCGCCGCTACCGATGGCTTGCTTTCGATTTCCTTCACTTGCGAATGTTTTCTGCGAATCTTTCCCGGTTACCGCGGATCGATGCGGAAATCTGGAATCTCATACCCCAATCAGCATATAGACAGCGACTGTTTTTTTGCGGATCTGCCTGTTTTCGAGCTCTTCTCGCATACGATACCCTTCGACGCACTCTTGTCGAGCTCGAACATAGATGGCAGGACCCTCGTCTTTCTCGCAAAGGCATGCATTACGAACATTTCACGACTTCGCTCTTCTGCAAGCATGCTGCTTGGGGAGCTATAGATTCTCGCTTTCCGAGTCTTCCACACGCGGATGACCTCTCTGAGCATTTCCTTATCTTACGACAAAAGCGGTTCCTTTTTTCCCGGTCATACCCCTCGACGACAACGTCTTTCTCGTCGTCCTTGCGTCTCTCGGTCTCTCCACACGCGGAGAGTAGCAGCATGACCCTGTTTTGGACGACGGAAAAGTTTACTGCATAGATGGCGTTCATGAAGGTCTAGCCACGACCCAACCTTTGTACGAAGGAAGATACCCCCGGTTCTTTGTGGTAACCATCATGGTGGCTGTCTTTCCAAGGCCAGCTCGGCGGTGGGATTTAAATGCTCGTTTTGGTTTGCATGCGCATATGCGGACCTGACCCCGTGACTTGGGTGGAAGGAATCTGATAAAAGTATAGTTTCGAGCAAATGATTAGTTACATAGACTAGTATGCGCTGCCAATATGCGTGGCCTATACAATGCATGCGATTTGATACTTGCATATATTTCTCCTCAGTTGCTTCACATTTATCATAATGTGACATTACGTGGCATCTTACCGTCCCTCAACTTGGCGTGGCTGTCTCCAGAACATTATATCACTTCATCATCTTAACTAGAACTGCTGTGCATGTCCCGCTATACATTGCCAACGCGGTAACCGTGAATCATTGAGACTTCACTAGTTGACGGAGACTGTTTCTTAGTCGCCACCGCCTCCCACCTGATTCCTGGCTCTATCGTCCTTACCCGGCGAGTTGAGGTCCATATCAGTCGCTCACGCGTCTACTTCTCTTGCCTTCCCAGACATCATCTGCGCCACACCATCCACTCTATTCTTCGCGCACCCTCCCACATAGCATCAGCATACTCGGCATCGAATACATCATTTTCTCTCACCCTAGACACCGTGCTGAGATCAACTCGCTTTCAGGAAGTCGGCCCATCATACCACAATGCCAGACCGCCTCACAGGACACCCGTCCCTCCAAAAGACCCGTGACACCATCTCACGATGGGGACGATGGTGCGGCTCCCAGATATCAGACTGGACTGCGTTAGCGAGAGAAGAGATCGAAGCAGATTTGCGTCGTACCAAGCCGTGGAACACAAGTCTCTAGGATTGCTTGAATCCGCTGCCCTTATGTAAGTCTTTCCACACTTGTTGGTATGAGGATGGGGATGACGAGAAAGATGGACTAACAAGTAGCGTAGGTATCGTCACGTTCTTCTGTCCTTGCGTCACTTGCGGAAAGACGTGGCATCGTCTTCACTACAATGGCGACATGAGTGGCTATGAGATTGTCAACGTGCCGGTACGCCATTTCCCTCCCTGACAAAGTTCCATCCAGCTTCGATTAGCGTCCCACATTATCCCACCGCATACTTCCTTCTCAGATCTCTGACTGACACTACCGGGAACAGTGCATAGCCTACGGCTACTCGTTCCTCTGCTGCACCCCGCTCGCCCACGGCTTCCTCGTCTGCGTCCCCTTCGCATGGCAAACCTATCGGATCCGCAAACTAGGCGACCTCGGCGGCACTTGTGTTGCCGATATACTCAAGACGTGGTTTTGCACGTGCTGCTCGCTGATCCAGAACGAGAAGGAATCGAAGTTGCTGATTGAAGGGCGTACAACGGGGTTTTGGGGCGGTGACGGCGCAGGTGCTGAGGGTGTTGTTGTGCGGCAACCAGGTGGGGGGTTGGGGGAGGTGATGATTATGCCTATGGCGGTTGGAGAGGGGATTAGTGGGCAGGGAGGAAATGGGACGACTACAGTTGGGGAATGTGCGGCGGTTTCTGAGCTTGCTGGCGAGACAGTGGTTTGCTTTGAAGGAGAGGAAGATGATACAGAGGGAGCCACTGGGGTACAACCACATGTCGACGGAGCCACCGATCAACACACCCGCCTCGAACCGCATGTGCCAGTTGACACTTTCAGCGAACACAGTTTCCACTCAGAAACGGGCGACGAGGCCATGGAGCGCATCGTCGCATCCGAGGACTCCACCTTAGATCTGGCTGTGATGGCATTGCCGGCGACTCCACAGCACATTGCCTGTACGGCTCCTGCGCGAACGACTCAATCTGAGATACCCAGTCACCTGGACAAGTCCGAGAATGATTCTTATCCGGACCCGGCTAGCGAGCACATCTGTAACAACGGTGAAGCGGTAATGGCAGAATAATACTGGGTATGCTCTGTGCGAAGGATGGTTTTGCTAGAGTAGACTACGCTCGAAGAGCTTGGGAAGAGGGAAGATGTGATGGGTTTTGAACGGGTGGTCGGCAGAGGTGGATGGTGTCGCGTATTCCTATTCTGTCCCTACGTAGTCTTTTTTTCCCTTGCCCTAGTTAACGTCTTTGTGGTTTCAATGCATCGCTGTTATTTCCAAACTAATTCTCTGATTAATGCTTGTTTTGAGGAACTCGTCATGTTGATTTGCACGGTCGAAGATGGTAGAGAAGGTATGAAAGTGCGAGATACTTCTTCATTATGATTTCGTAAGTCATTATACAAGCAACTAATCCGTTAGGTACCTTGCACTCAAGACTCCAAAGCGGTGGCAAGATCAGATCATGCAATTCGTACATTCTACAGTCCGCTCAACCCATCCAACAATGCGGTCAACCCGCCAACACCCAGCAACGCGCCCGCCGCGGCCTTCCTCCCTGTGTGACTTTTCTTACCATACTTGTCCCTTTCCCTCTCCTTCTCATACGCTCTACTCCTCGATTTGGATCTGCGCCGTCTTGGGCGTTCGAGCTCAGACTCGGATGTGGTAAAGTCGTCGTCATGTCGTCGGTTGCCGGCATAAGTGGGGTTCATGTAGGATTGGCGGAGAGGTGAGGCTTGTACAGGGTAATTCTGGTTTTGGATTGGTGCATGTGGTGGCGCGGGTGCGTTCGCAAAAGGGGTGTTTGGCGGTGGTGGGTAGTAGGGTGGTGCGTTCATCGGCTGGGATGGGTATCCGTTGGCTTGAGGTGGGTACTGTGGGATTCGTGGGGAGTGAGGGCGTTGTGGTTGTTGAGGGGTATATTGACTGGGTACCGGTATCTGGAGATTTGGAGTGCGGGTGTTGGTCTTTTGTTGGAGTGGCGGTGGGACGAGTCCCGGTCCAGGCATTGAGAGTGATCGGTCTAGTGGGGGTGGCCCAGGCGGCGGTGCGTAGTGCATCGTGTTCGTGCGATCAAGCGGGGGATGTGTGTTTCGCGGCACTGGTGTCCTGTCGCGGTCGAATGCGCTTCCTTTTAGAGCAGGTGGCGGTGGGGCACGATGGAAAGATGATCTCCTGGCTTGTGGTTGTTGGGGTGGAGTCTGTGGTGCTGCTTTCCGGTAGATGTCAACGGTACGTTCAACAAGACGTTTGACTTGGTCAAACTGCAATGGACGTTCGATGCAGAAGCATGTCTCCCCTCTCGTTCTCCTACTATCCCTCCGCTCCTTTTGATATTGTGTAAACCTGAAACCTGCCTCTCGGATTGCTTCCTTGCACACCCAACTAGCCATGATCTCGGTCCAACTGCTACGTTCCAAATAGGCAAGTGAATACGCTTGATCAGTATTCGAGCTGACTTGCTTGGCATCGACAAAGCGCCAGTAATATTTGCGCGCGCACAACTTCCAAGGTATTTCTAGATCGACTTCACTGTCTTCCTCTTTCGCTTCTACCGCGGCGGCAGCCTCGATGGGGAGACTACCTAGACTGGATCGGGGCGAAGCAGCTGTTTGCTGTTCATTTGTAGCAGGCATGCTCGCTTGTGATGTACGAGGTGTAGCGATCGGTGTTGGCGGTGCAGGCGGACCGTAATGCTTCTCCGGGTGTGGACTAGACAGGCTGCTGGCCTCAGTGAACAGCGGCTGTATGCTGCCCGACCTTTGTGTTCGCCGAGCGCCATCACCTGAAAGCTTTGATGTGCGGCTCTGCTCTTCTTCGCTATCTGACTCTACAGTAGCTTGTTGATACTCTTGTCTCTGCCTTTGTAGTTCACGTTCTTCGTCTCGTAAGCGGCGCTCAAACAGAGGCAGACTCGTCCATTGTTGTAGCAAGTGCTCGGCGCGCGAAGCCGATATACTGAAGACCGCAGGCAGACCATTCGCTTCGGTGTATACCGACGTGTCGAGGCTTCTCAGGTCCTCGTCCTGATAAGATCGAAGGCTGGTCGGCCTAGGGCTTTCGCCATGCTCTGTGACAACTAAGCTCTGGGAACTGTCTGCCTCCATCAATAAGCGCGCATCAGACCGTGGCGATTGTTCGTAGAAGTTTGAAGCTGATAAGATGGATAGTTGTTGTTGAACAATGAGTGCCTCGAGTTGAATCTTTTCGTTGTCAACAAGTTTAGCGGCTTGTTGCGGAGATACCGTGGGACGTAACCTGAACGACTGTCAGCAGCATACTACTCCAAGCCAAGATGTACCTCAAGTAGAAGATAGAGCTATGCGGATGCGACTGGGTCAGAGGCCGAGTGCAGTGTAAGGATGCAAAACTTACTTCGACCACATTATAGTCTGTGCTGCATACAACGTTTGCAGCAGAACAGAGAGCGTCATGCTCAAGGCTTCCAGGTGAGCTGTGAAATAGTCTAAGCTTGCCTTGGTCGAATGATCTAAACGGGGATGGCTGTGTTGAGTAGAGCGAACA